TGAAACCGTGTCCCTAAAATGATTTATTAAAGTGTCGCGAGGGATGAAAGAATGGTCTGAAGTAAAGTTGTATGAATATTTGAATAGGTCCGTCGGTAATTATTTCGTTGGAGCTTGTATTACTACGGTAGATGAAAGAATGATAAATGACAATGACGACTGTATAAACTTGCTTTTCTAATCGTGCATTTTGGTTAATTATAGATGGATTTGGTCGATACTTTTTCCTCATTAAAACTTGGCGATTACTTATAGTTTAATGCATTCTTCTGTCTACATTGTAATGCAAATTAAGTGAAATTGTATTTGGAAGAATATTTAGACGCCTAGCAAATACGAATATTTTTCATATTTTTGGGAGTAACTGTATACAGATTTATGAAATTGAAAACAACTTTACTTTTATTTTTCGCACTGGACCAATCGATGAAAACGACGGATTTCACATTTCTCACTTGAAATTACAGAAACGATTAAAAAACTGAAAAAAAGTTTATTTTCCATTGAACATTCTAATTTCTAAGTTCCCTGTATGATACACCTAGATACCCCAGAAGGGGAAAAATATATCAAAATTCAACCCCATTTGTTCCGCACTTAACCCTTTGTACTCCAACCATTGTTTCGCACAACTAATCAGCAACTCTAACATACGTTTGCAACGAAACTTTCGCAAAAAAAACGCTTCCGAGGTTCACCAATTTATTTATTTCCTATTTTGATTTCCATTGTTTTAATTACCTAAAAAAAACTTGAGTTTCACATTTAGAAGCTCTCCAAGCTAATCACGCATGTCGCCTTAATGGCGCCATTGGAGCGCAAAGGGTCCCAAGCTTCGTTTCACAAAAACCTCTTTCTCATCTGTTTAACTTTCCTCGAATACGCTGTACCAATTTAAGACACCCGGTATACATGCACCACGGTTCCCAGTTGCCCGGCAAAATATCCCCTCGGTATTCAGACACAGAACATCGAAACCACCACCTACGTATTTTAACGCGAATATCGGACATTATAATACAATTGGCATAGGAGGCGTCGTATAGTAAGAAAAGTCGAGGTTACAAATTGTCCCTTCGTCGCCGTTTGTCGCGTGAAATGGCCGCGATCAGGGCTCCCTTTATTCTCAAACGCGATATCGGCCGTTTCTATCGTTCGAAAACCGAGGTGAAACAGGTGGATTCGCGCGCGCGCGCGCGAACATATACACACGTATCTGCTCTCCTGGCGCGAAGGTATCGTTAAGTCGTAGGCAACTCTACCTACGTTGGTTACCTGTAGGCGTTCGATTCGAGACGTCCCATATTAACCTTGGATTTACGTCAATGCAGGGGCGTTCTACGCCGGTACGTGTAACGTCATTGTCACGAACTTATACGCGATGCGTTTATTCCGACCTTCGCGAAACCTCTCTTTCTCTCTCTCTCTCGTTGACAACCTTTGCCGCAACGGGGTGTGAATATTCCTTCGTTTTTCTTTTTTAGCATATTCTCTCTCTATCGTGTTCCTTTTTTTTCACTCGTTATTTTTTTCTTTCCTTTTTCCTTTTTTTTTTTTTTTTTTTATTCCTTCTTCGCCTACTTTCTTCTTTTACCGTCGCGATATTATTCCGCTACTACCACCTACGTGGGAACTGGAGCGATCGTTATACAGTATACGCCTTCGTAACTATAAAAATATATTAACGTTTCTCAGTTTTATCACTGTGACGGAGAATAGATGTGGAATTATAAGATGGAAAGTTTGATGGAGGTTTGTTGTGTAATTGTGTTAGGTCATAGTGAATGTTCACGCTGTTTTGAGAGGGTATTCCCCTTGGGCAGACGTCATATTTTGCTTTTTGAAATTTGGAGGGAGAAGGTGAATGTTAGGTTTACGGTCTGCGGGAAAATTGAAGCTTTTCGTGTAGTAGTTACTTGTGGAAAAAAATTCAGAAAGTTTGGCTATTTTTAGACGACTTAACCCTTTTGCTGTGGAAGAGTTTGGCTTGTGACGCATGCGGCAGACGGTAGATGTTCAATCGCGACAAAAAGATCTTTTGTTTTGCAGTATTAAAATTTCCATAAAGTTGAAAAATTGAAATTCCAAAATTAAATTTCGAAATTTATCGGTTTAAAAATTGAGCTGGGTGTACGTAAAGAACAAGAGTCAAGGCTTGAATTAAGACGATAGTGTGCCCAAAAAGCACTGTGCGAGAGAATATTCAAACCGCCTGTAGGAACTATGGTCACAATGCGAGAAAATATTCGAAACGCCTATAGGCGTTCGCAGAATCTTATTTTCTGGCGTTTAAAAATTGAAATTCCAATTGAAAATTTAAAAATTGATGTGAAAGTGCGCAAAGAATGAGGAGTCGAGGCTTGAA